AGCTTTCTGCTTATAAATCAAGTAGTCTGAGGATCTCTGCCAAGAACAGTGTTATTAAAATTTAGAACAATCACCATGTCAAAACTACAAGTTTCATCAAAAACCTTGCCTGCAATATGACAGAGAGGTACAGAGTAGCACTTCATTTCATTTTGCTGAGGTTTCTCATATAAAGAATCAATCTTTTTTTTACTAACATAGAGAAAGATACAATTTTATAAGCTAAGCGTGGGCTTATATCTGGCAAAGAGCACATTGACAATTTCTTGGCAAAATAAAGTATATGGAGATATAATATTGATATTAATATCTATCTACCTATATTCTTAGAGAATACTTAGAAATTAGCTTTTTGGGGGTTTATTATGTTTTTGGACTCTCTAATAACAATGCATTTGCAATCTCATTTTTCTTTGATATTCTCATAGCTATTTCATTTTTATTCTCAAATGAGAACTGAAGGGTAGTCAAGGTGGGCAGGTTGTAAAAGTAAAATGCAGAGAGTCCAAAACCTGAGAAAAAAAATTTTGGAGCCAAGGTTTTATAACTTCTATAACCCCAAACTCCTTCCACCAGAGAGTGGTAGCAAGTTGTAAAGCAGAATTTGATAAACCATAGTTTCAGAAGGCAAAATAATTCTAATTTGACTAGCTACTGAATCAAACTTTGTGCCCAGCAATGGATGAAAGTATATGATTTAGAAATATAGAAAATAATCTCAAAATTATGAAATTTGAAGTTCCACACAGAGGGAAAGAAACAGGTACAAACAGGTTCCTAGGTTTGTAGTTAGTAACTTCCAGAGCTACAACCTGACAACTGTATGACTTTCAATAACGGAAAACAAATCAAACACAACAACCTAAAACAAATAAGTACCAGTAATTGAATATAAAGTGCTGGCTCATTGCTTGCCATATGGTAGGGACTTACTGCAAGTTTTTTCAACTTTATCTAGGAATACAAGATCCTTCCTTTAATTTGTCAAAGGTAAAAGTAGGTTTTAACATCTGCTTTATTTTTTTTTAATAATAATTTAAGAAATGTTATTTAAACCAAAATGCACAATGGGGAGGTTTGAAAGAACATGTAATGAAATTGCAATATACATATGTAATGTAAATACTGAGTATATCTTACATATAAAAAGAAAAAGAAGTTAGTGTGTTCTATCATGTAAAACATGAATTAAATGATTTAGAAACAAATACTCAGCTGTGAAATTTTAAGATACTAGAGGCCCGGTGCACGAAATTTGTGTACTCGGGGGTCCCTCAGCCCAGCCTGCGCCCTCATGCAGTCCGGGAGCCCTTAGGGGATGTCTGACTGATGGCTTAGGTGGGGAGCAGGCCTAAGCCGTTAGTCGGATATCCTTAGCACTGCTGAGGAGGCAGGAGAGGCTCCCACCGCCGCTGCTGCACTTGTCAGCCATGAACCTGGCTTCTGGCTGAGCGGTGCTCCCCCTGTGGGAGCGCACTGACATCCAGGGGGCAGCTCCTGTGTTGTGAGGCTGCCCTCTGCTGGTCAGTGTGCATCATAGTGACCGGTCATTCCACTGTTTGGTCTATTTGCATATTAGCCTTCTATCATATAGGATTATGTTAATGGAGAACAGGGATAACTTTTACTGTTTCCACCCTCCTCCTCTTTCTAGAATATTAATTTATGATCCCAAAATGGCTTTGGACCACATTTATGAGTGATGGTGGAAGAGGGAAAAATATTTTTTTTAAAATTATGCTACCAAGTCAGACACTCCTTTGTCTTCCTCTGACCAATTCTGAGGAAGCCAGGAAAGAGGAAGGTCGCTGTGTCTTCAAAAAAATCAATCTTCTAGCTTTCTCACTCTACCTCCTGCTTACTCAGGGCTGGATTACTTAACTAACTGCTCCTGGGTCTGCCCCTAGGTATATAATTTCTTCTTCTTCTTCTTTTTTTTTTTTTTGACCTTGGACATGCAAATTATATCCTTTGGTGATGAGATTATAAAAACTTCCCTCTTCTTTTAGGGCTTAAATGTTTGCAGCCAAATTACCAGAGAGCATTGCATCAAGAATTATGATAATCATGACATCAGTAAACCAAGTCAACCTGGATGTCTTGTTTCCCATTTGCCATTTTCCCTTGTGCTAAAACCTCTCAGTAACATCACAGGGAGAACAGCTGTGTTATGGTGTGTGTGTTCTGTGAAGGTTGAAGGGAGGGGTTCTGTGGATATTACTGAGTCCCCTAGTGTCTTAACATTAGAAATCTGTCCTCATCTCTAACAACCTGATTCTACTCAGAGGAAGGCGTAATGGAAACAGAGCAGAGAGATCCAGGAAGGATTGGAAATGTGGGGAGGCCAATTGAGGACATGTTAAACCATGCATCACTCTTTACAAATTATAAATCTCATACTAATTTTTATGAAAGAATGTAGAAACATTTTTAAATGTTCTATTAATTTATAAGTTTCCAGATATAAAATTTAATTAAATGGAGTCCAATTGGCACATTTTTCTACTGAAGAAAAGAAAACCCTTGTGTACTATTGGTGGGGATGTAAATTGGTGCAGCCACTATGGAAAATAATATGGAGGTTTTTTGAAAAATTAAAAGTAGAACTACCATATGATCTAGCGATTCCACGTCTGGGTATTTAGCTGAAGAAATATATACCACTAATTCAAAAAGATGCAGCCCTATGTTCATTGTAGCATTATTTACAATAGCCAATATATGGAAGCAACCTAAATGTTCATTAATAGACAAATAAATAAAAAAGATGTGGTATGTATGTACAATGGAATATTACTCAGTCATAAAAAAATAAATGAAATCTTACTATTTGCAACAACATGGATGAACCTGGAGGATATTATGCTACGTAAAATAAGTCAGATAGAGAAAAACAGATTCCTTATGATTTTATATTTAGGTAGAATTCAGAAAACAAAATAAACAAAGAAAAAAAAGTAATAATATTGAAGGGAAGCAGAGTTTTCCATTCTAAAATATGTTTTTGGGGATATTATTTTTAAAGCTGGATATTTTCAAGAAAGAAGACTCAGGAAAAACCTTTGGCCCCTTACCCACCTAAAGGAATTTAGATAGAAAACCTGCTCCAGGAAGAGAACTATCATCTTAGATAACATGGATTATGAATTAAGTGCGATTGACAGGGAGGAAGCTAGTAAGAACCTTTTGATCAAAGTCCTCACTGGGTCCCTTTGTTAAGTATGGCCCAGCAAGCATTTATTTACCAAACATTTGCTGTTTCATCTCCATGTGAATTGCCTTCCCACCCTTTAAAATCCCAAACCATAACTCCCAACCCCCTTTCCCCTAAGCTTGAGAGGGCATGTAAGCCTCATCTGTCCTATATATATTTTAGTAAAGCAAAGTGGAATTTACTGAAGATGCAATAGCTTTCTAATAGACACTGTCCTACTATAATCATTTTGTCTTCTTTTGAAGATCAATTCTAAACCCAACAGTGAATCATTTCTGAATCTGTCATCTTGCCTGGGGTTGCTTGAATATGGAAAAGCCAGATGATGAAATTCAGCAAGGAAAGGTGGCTACTTTGTAGTGTTTTTGTGTGTATGTTGTTGTTGTTGTTTTTAATCCTAACCCTGGGACATGTTTTTTATTGATTTGAAAGAGAGAGGAAAGGGATATAAGGCGGGGGGAGGGGGGGGAGAGAGAAACATCCATAGGTTTCATCCCATACACGCCCCGAACAAGAATACAACCCACAACCTTTCAGTGTATGGGAGGACACTCTAACCCACAGAGTCACCCAGCCAGGGCAAGCTGGCTACTTTGCTTCTCTGTCTCAGAAAACATGTGCTCTATATTGAAAATTGAATAAATCATTATGGTGGATTATAATTAACTTCCATTTTAACTGTTAGAAGTTGACCTCCTGAAATAGGAAAGTCTAGTACATATATATACAATAAAGGCTGTGGCCAAAATTTTTGATATTTTACATTTACCTAATCCATGCCTCTTTGAGTCACTTAACCCATTGAGTCTTTATATCAGGGGTCCTCAAACTGCGGCCCGGGGGCCACATGCAAATATAAATATTGTATTTGTTCCCATTTTGTTTTTTTACTTCAAAATAAGATATGTGCAGTGTGCATAGGAATTTGTTCATAGGTTTTTTTTTAAACTATAGTCCGGCCCTCCAACGGTCTGAGGGACAGTGAACTGGCCCCACTTACTAATTAGAGACTTGTAGGTAGATTCCTTATTTTTCCAAGACTCCATTCTCTCATCTGCAATATCTGCACAGTAATAATATTGAAATCATAGGGTCGTTGTGAACATTGAAAAGCTAACCTGCATAAGCATTCAGTCTATAAGGTAGAAAAGGATAACAATGACCATGTGAGGTGAATCCTATATAACTTCCCCTGTCATCCTTACCATACAGATGTGCAAACTGTGACTCAGAATAGTTACATTATTTGTTTAAGAAACCACAGCTGGTAAATAATGAACTCAGGCTTAAAATATAATTGGAGACTTCTTGGTTTAATTTTTTCCTTTATATCAAACTTCTTCACTTAGATCTTTATCTTGGTCTATATGTGTATCAGAATCATAAATGTTTCTGGTTACATCTTTCCCAGGCCAAGAGTAAGAAACCCATGCAAAATGGAAGATACTAAATTAATGTAATTTTTAAAAAATATTGTCTAAACTCATGGATCACAAGAAAACCTGAAAACCATCCAAGATCTATCTCAACATTGAATATGTAACTCATCCTCTCATTAGGAAAATTGTTAATTAATTTAATTAATAGTTTAATTAAAGGTGGCTTCTCAAAATAATTATTCTTCATTTTCTATAATATCTTATATGCAATTATTAATCTAAATTGCAGTTGCAGAACTAAATATACTTGAACAGTGATCATAACAAGAAATGTTGATATGTCAATTAAAACAAAATTTTTTTTTGCAGCAGCAGGAAAAATAAAATTGAAATGTCAAAGCACTTACTGCAGCTTGTCGATGAGTATTGGAAAGTATTCCATGAATCTTCACTTTGTCCTTTTCCATTTGGTCTATGTTCACCCACAAATCCCGGCTGGCCGAATCAGATGGACCATATATCCGAGATATATAGTAATTGTGATCTGTGTCCTCCTGTTATAATAGAGAAAAATGCACATAAAGAACAGAGTATGGATGGACCTTGAGGGCAGTATGCTAAGTGAAATAAGTAATAATAGAGAAAAATGCACATAAAGAACAGAGCATGGATGAACCTTGAGGGCAGTATGCTAAGTGAAATAAGTCAGAGACAGATAAGTACTGTATGTTCTTATATGTGCAATCTAAAAACGCTGAACTCATAGAAACAGGGTAGGATGGTGGTTACCAGGGGCTGGGGTTTTGGAGAAACGGGGAGATGTTGGCCAAAGGGTACAAACTGCCAGCTATAAAATGAATAAGTTCTGGGGATCTCCTGTACAGCATGGTGACTATAGTTAATACTGTAATACATGTACAGTATTATGTACTTGAAAGTTGTTAAGAGAGTAGATTTTAAATGTTCTTCCCACAACAAAGAACCGGTAATTATGTGATATGATGTCAGTGTTAGCTAACGCTATCATGGAAATTATTTTGTAATATATTATTGTACCAAAATCAACATATTTTATAGATAAACTTACACAATGCTACATGTCAACTTTATCTCAATAGGGGTGGAGAGAAAAGAAGCACTTAATCCAATGTATGTAATTTACAGAGTTATAGACAGTTTCATGAAAAAGAAAAAAAAGTCAGTTCTCAAAAGAAATGAACAGAGACATGATTCCCAAAATCCTTAAAATACAAACTAAATAATGATACCATGACATTAAAAATGTTAGCATTCTTCGAAACAACTAAAGGAGTTAACCTCTAATGGATGTGAATTAGATAAAAGATATATAAAATTAGTAAGCTTCTTTAGAAGAAATTTATAAATAAACACTAGTCTTTCTATTACAGGGATCTCTCTAATTGCTGACCAAAGAAAATGCCACTCTTGGAACTATTTAATGAAAACTTGAACTATAATTACCGCTGAGTGACAACAAATTCAAACTTCTCTTCTTTAAAGCTGGGGTTTTTAGGGCCTGCTTTAAGTTAAAGATCCTAGAAATGGATAATATATTTTTCTCTATAATTGGGGTTACTAAATTCTACTTTTATGTGATTCTCATTATTGGTATCACCATGGTGCCAGCTACAGAACCTTTATTTTTTATGTCTCTCGCTCAGTGCAAAGACTTAAATGTTTTAAAAGGCAATTTTGGAGAGAAACTCCCGGAAAATAAAATGATTCTTGACTAATTCAAATTGCAAATATATATATTTTTTACCACGAAATGTAATTGTGCATATCCATTTGTGGAACCCACTAGATAGAATGTATTTTAAAACATTCAGGTATATGTAAGAATAATGGTTATTGAATAGAGGGTCTGTGATTTGAATAATAATGTTTGAGATGTGAATATTGTCTAATGCATTTATTAGTTGTTCTAATTAAATAAAGTACAATTATTCTTGAAATCTTGTCAAAACAAGAATCCCAGCTACCTTTTCACAAGCCATCAGGCTAGATATATATAGAAAACTGACTACACAAAGGAAGGGAATATTTTTAGTACTAGATTTTGCTGCGTGACTAAAAAAAAAATATTGACCCTAAATATAAATATTGAGAACAGTGATTATATATTAACATTAAGATTTTTTTTAAAAGTTCCTAAGTAAACCTCCAATTAAACTCTGGGTATAACATTGAATTGTGTGTATACCGATAAGAAAATTATGCAGAGAAAGGAGAAAAAAGGAGATACAAAGGAAGAAGAAGGAAGAAGATTCCATGCAGCCCAAGAGAGATTTAAGAGGGCTTCCAGCACTCCCTTCCAGAAGATTAAGACACTGATTATGTAAGTTTGGGGGGAGGGGGTAACAAGCATTGCGACTATGTTGCCAGCGGGTCTTCCCTGTTGACTGGCGCTTCACCACTGGAAACTTCTGAGGTGGGTCCCCTCCTTGCCATTGGGCACAAGCCATTCTGCACATGTCACTCCAAAGGCCACAAGGGCTGGTGGGGATCATGAGCACACACGCATGGTAAGCAAGACCAACTAGTGAGACATCTAGAAGCTTAAAGGGGATACTTTCTCTTATTCTGATTGCTGAGAAATGTAGGTGTGAGACTTGAACTACTTGCCCACATGTTGCTGCCAAGAGGAAACCGGGCCTGAAGACACAGCAAACACAGATGAGAACAGAATAACAATCAATGCAAAGAAAAAGCCAGATCCCTGATCAGGTACATATAAGTGTGACCTACACTTGGGTGTGTTAACCATGAAATCTCTTTTATTGTTAAAACACCTTTTGTTGGGTAATTGTCAACTAAAAGAATCCTAACTGACAAACAAGTTTCCCTAACTTGCAACCAAAAGAGACTCAACTTAAGCAACACGCTGAAGAAGGCAAACTAATCTAGAGATTTACACATCTGTATAACAAGCATCTCCCATTCAATTCTGGTATTCTAGCCAATCACATAGCAGAAATGAGAATTTAAATCTAACTTGCCAGAAATCATCAGATCTGAATAACAAGTGATAATGATTCATGTAATTTCCCAACGAGTCATATAAAGGGGTGGTTTTGAAGAAAATTGTCTATGAGTTTAAATAAGAATTTTAATTTTTCCCTATTGCTAGAATTATTATAAACAGTTCAGCAACACTAAAGTCAGAGATGTAATCTTTAGGTGAATTATGTAACAGATTCTATGATGCTGCCAAATTCCCACATAAATACCAAATAGTATTCTCTTTAAAACTGCAGATTTTCACTATAGAATTCAGTATAATTATTGCAATCAGCACATTTAAAAGGACTTTGGTATTTCCCTTAACACCTATATCTCTGTAATTAATCAAGATATAGTCTTAGCCCTAACCGGTTTGGCTCAGTGGATAGAGCGTCAGCCTGTGAACTGAAGGGTCCCAGGTTCGATTCCAGTCAAGGGCATGTACTTTGGTTGCAGGCACATCCCCAGTAGGGGGTGTGCAGGAGGCAGTTGATTGATGTTTCTAACTCTCTATGCCTTTCCCTTCCTCTCTGTAAAAAAATCAATAAAATATTTTTTAGAAAAGATATAGTCTTAAAGTTAACATAAAGAATAATATCATTATGCTTAAATAATGATTATCTGCAAAAATATACATGTTGCCTAATTACAATCTCTGATACGGGTATGTGATAATACACCTTTATTTTTACTCATTTTTAGAAAGATATAGTCTTAAAGTTAACATAAAGAATAATATCATTATGCTTAAATAATGATTATCTGCAAAAATATACATGTTGCCTAATTACAATCTCTGATACGGGTATGTGATAATACACCTTTATTTTTACTCACATCTTTGAAAATATTGAAAAGCTAAAGATTGACCTTGGTGTTTGACAAGTTTGTCAATTGCCATGGCAACTTTTATTCAAAGAGGAAGACTATTTTTTTACCCAGGAATTTAGAGACATAAGTTATTGAGTTCCAGGGCAAAGCACTGGGCTCAGTTATTCAGGGGAGCCATAAAATAGCTGTCTTAAGATGTGACATTTCAGCGCTATTAAATGATAGGGACCATATCCTGTCCTGTATGGGAGTAATGGCACTTAAAGAGTTGTCAATAGCCAATTCAGGCACAAAGATTTTCCTTTTCTTCTCAAACACAAACTATTTTTAACATCATAGAAAATAAAACAAAACCCTACTAAGATATGCCTAGTTGCCAATTCACTTAGGAAACCAACTGTTACTGAAAGTAGATGGCACAGTAGGTAGCTATAAACCCTATAAATCCGTTCTTCTCAAACATGCTGGGAAATGAGCAGTTGTAAATGAAAAGAGGATAGACAGCAAACACACAGAGGAAAAGTCATCGTAATTGTAGCCTAAACATTTGGCAACATGCAATTTACACAATTCCTAACTCATTGTCTTTCTTTCTATCAGGGGGGTTAAGTTGATTTTATGGTGGGTAATTTTTATGAATGCCTCACATTGCCTTATGCAGTAATAGCACTTGAACTCCAAATTTATTTCACTGTGCCAGTCATTTGAAATATCTGGATACAAAAAACATAATCAAAGTTCTTAGGTAAAGTTATTTAGCATTGGATCAATTTTTTACCTCACAAAGATAGTTCCATAATAAATACAAGATTATAATTTCAACTGTTCCTGCCAGCTATTAATTTATATCAAATATATAAATCATTTCTTATACAAATCATTTCACAATAACTATATGGTGCATTACTTGTATATATTAAACTCTTCAAAAACAAAGAGTTAGTATAGTCCTCTTTGATATAAAAGCATGTTAATATAAGAAACCAAAGAACATGATGAAGTAAAAAGAGAGAGAGAGAAAGAATTATCTGACAGTACTCAGGAAAAAAATTACAGAGATAAACTCAATAGTACCAAGAGGAGAATAAACATGATGAAATTACTAGTTAGGACACAGAAAACAGTTGTGAGAAGTGTATACAAGATGAAATGGAAAAGATAATGAAATAAGTGTCTAAGATAGACAACAATATAAATTATATATGTATAGTAGTAATATTTATATTTTACATTAGAACAATTTCTCTGAGATAAAGATTTGAACCTGTACATCATGTCCCAAGAAAATTTACAATAGGATTTTGAGTACTAAGAATTTTCCTATTACTCAAAAAATTCATGGATTTTTTTTTAAATCTTATAAAAATCTAGAAAAACAAATCAAGTTATCTATAAGGAGGAAAAAAAATGAGATAGTCTAATACTCCCTCATAATATCCAGTGGAAACAATGCCCACACAATGTGAGAGAAAGAAGTTGTGACTCAAGAATGTTTGACCCTGCAAAGTTGTAATTTAAGTATAAAGGCAACAAATATATTTCTAATACATACAAATGCAGAAGGAACAGACCATAAGTGGGACTTTCTTAAAAATGTAATAACTAATAATACAACCAAAGCAATCAGGAGGTGAATCAAACATGGTCTCAGGAACGGAGAAGCTGTAGTAAGCTTTAGATGGTGAGCACTGACTCCACA